TTATTCATCCTTCTCGTTGAGTTTAAAGAGTTTTTGGTATATTCTGGATATCAGCCCTTTATCAGTGTGTCCCTTCCTTTCACCTGCAGCACCGGAGTTGTCCTTTTGGTCTCAGTGGAGTGTCAGCTCTTCAAAGAGGTTCCCTGTCTTCCCTCAGCCTAAATACAGTCCTTGTATTTTTCACTTTCATTGACTCATTTTGTTCTATTTAAATAGCATTTCCCATAATCTGTAAGTACATTAAAAAAAAAAAGGGCAATGATTGAACACCGCATCCCCCCCAGGCTGTGTGCCCTGTGAGAGCAGAGGCCTTGTCCCCACTCACCGTGTCCCATGACAGCACATGGCACATGTCCATGTAAAAGTGTGTAACGTGGTGCCAAGCCCTGAGCAGCTCTGATGACATATGTTGGCTACCATTTATTGAATAGAGTTTGTTTCTTGATCTTAATTATTAAATCACATGAATGAAACACATTTCTTTTGAAAAAATAAAACAACAAAGCACACCTCCATGTGATTGATATTTTCTACTTAGCCTTCTGATCCAGGAGAGGACGTTCACCATTATATTGTGGAGGAGGTTGGGGAGGTAAAGAAACAGACTGAGGTCAAATAAAGTAAAAATGATAACTATCAGCTGGCTTTATTTTCACTAAGACCTAAAAGTTACTTTAAACCCTATCTCAGTTGTTGTTCTGTTGTTTTAAAAATTTCACATAGAATTAAATGGGAGCCCACTAAACCCTGAAAGGGAAATTGTGTGCTCAGGTGCTGAAAAGTGTTTATGTCTATTTCTTGAGATGCACATTGTCCCTGCTGGTTACAGAAAGTTGAGGCGGGAACACAGCCGTGTGCTGTGTGTGTCTGCCGGCTACATGGGCTGCTCACAGTCATTTTCATTTTCTTGTGTTGCAGTGTATGAAAGTTTTCCATCAGATATGTTGCCCAGCCTTTTCCTGAATGAGTGATTGGAATTTCCACAGGAAATCTTATGAAAGAGAGTGACAAGGCACATGGGTTTCCCAAAAAGCAATAGTTGATGTAATAAACTCCCACATTGGTGAACTTTTTGAATACAAGCGAGTTGAAAATTTTATCGCTAGGTCATATGCCACAAATCTGTCTTAAGTATAAAAAGATTCAAATTTTATAGAAGCAGCAGTTTTAATCAAGTAGAAATTATGATTTGTACACTCTTTCATGTTAGAACATATGCTCAGTCTTATCATAATTGCCTGTGCTAGGAACTGGATCATTATTTATTTATTAAAAAAATCCACTAGGTTATATGTGCCCCATTCTTGATGTGGCAGTGCTGAGGCTAGTTAAGTTGGGCCATTTAGAATTCTTGGCTAGGTTTTCAGGACATTGATTTCAGCCTATTTATCTTTTTTACAATCTCTTCTTTTGCGTCGGCCTTTGGTCTTTTGACAACGTGGAAATACTGCACGGATCTGACTTTCCCTTTTTTCCTGTCTTTGTGGGAAAAGATTTCTATAAGACCGACTACTGGGACATTAAGGTTTCTGTGTGGGTTAAGTTTGGTCAGTTCAAAGGATTTCAATTAATACATATTAATACTTGCTATTCAGCTAATGATAGTAAAATTATAAAATAACTTATGTATACATCAATAAGTATAGTACAATAAGCCCATCACCCAGATTAAAGTATTCACAAACTTTTCCATATTTCCTTTATTCAGACCTTTCTTCTTTTATTTGTCCTTTGTTGAAGTATTTGACAGCAAATCCCAGAAGACATGCCATTTTACCCTATGTACTCAAGTTGGCATGTCTGAAAATTGAGGGCCTTTTCTTTGATAAGGTTTTTCAATTTGACCCATGTGCTCGTTAAGTACCAGCTGTATGAGGCATCTCACTAGGCATTAGGGATCCTTGGGGCAATGAGACAGTCCTGGCTCCCAAGGAAGTTAAGGGCTGATGGAAGAAACCAAAACAGGAGCTTAGGTGCCTCACCTAAGGTACCTGCTGGATGACACCAATTGGACAAAATTTGCGCACGCACAATACAGTAGGATTCACTGAAAAGACTGGTCAGACTTGTAGGGCAGGCCGTGAGAGAGGCGGTCAGCAGGGCTACAAGAGGAGGACTCATTTGATCAGAATCTGAATTCCTTTCTGCCAACCTTTCTACCAAGACCCCAGGACCCATCACACACAAACCTGTGCTGTAACTGTTTTTGATTCCTGTTACCACAGTTTCTACAGGAAGGATTTTAAGGTGGATAATATTTAAAATCAGTAATTGTTGCAAGAAGGGACATAGAACAAGGGACATGGAAACAACACAAATGTCCATCAGTACATGACTGGATAAAGATGAGGTGATACACATATACAATGGAATACTACTCAGCCATAAAAGATGCTATTTGCAGCAACATGGATGGACCTGAAGACCGTCATTCAGAGTGAAGTGGGGTGGAAAGAGAAAGAAAAATGCCAAATGACTTAATTCATGAGGAATCTAAAATTAATAGCAATAATAATAAGACCACAAATGAACTAATTAGTATTTTGATTTCTTGAATGTGTGTAAGCACATCTGACAGTCTTTTGTGATTGGATTGCCATATTCTGTTTATTATTCTTTTGTAGTTGTCTTTATTTCTCTGGTAACTGTAAGTTTAAAAATCTAAAGCTCTAATCTGTTCTTAGAAACAATAATTAGTACATATATGTAAACTAAAAAATATGCAGTATACTCTATACATGTATTTACATGTAATATGTGTATGTGGAGTTGAACTGTAATAATTCTACCTAATAAAACTGAAAAAGGAAAAAAATAAAAATTTATTTAAAATATCATCCCTCTTTAGATATTAAAACTTTCAGTTCTGAGATTCTGTGAAAGACATCATTGAAGAAGTAGGTTTTTAAGATTTTCTCCTTGCTCCTCAGTGAGCATCCTGGGCTGCAAAGCATGGCTGCCACAGGCACCCAGGACTTACCGGCTTGCTTCTCACTTGTTGGGAGGAAGATTAGCTGCTTCAGGAATATTTATGCTCTTAGAAGTTGCTGAAAACTCCACAGAGATTCTGTTTACATGGAGTGAATCTGTCAATATACTCCATTTAAGAAATTAGAACAGAAAATTTTAAACCCAAAAATTGACAAGCACTCGCTGTCCCAGCTCATGTTCAAAGCAGTGCTGCCACAGTGGCTTGCGTTGGTTCTAGAAAAAATGCACCGTACACTCAAGAATGAGGGTGAACACACAGATCTCATCTCAGAAATGCTATGAAGATTTGGGAACCTAAGCCCCTAAAACAGCGCTGAAGTCCCCAGATGTCCCAGAACACACAGAGCCATGGGATCAAGAATCCATTGTCTCGTGGATCATCAGCCTTGGAGACCGAGTCCAGGGTCAGGAGGAGCAGAAGTAGGGAAAGCAGGCACACAGTCATATTGACAGCAAAGCTTTAAAGGTGTTGAATTGACTAAAAGTTTGGCAAAGATTTGCATTTAGTATACTACATTTCCTCTCCGGGAGACGTTAGAAGGATAACACTGATTAATAGAGGATGATTATAATCGATTAATTATGATACTGATGATGTGAGCTGCTAACACTAACCCTGCACTCAGTGTAGACTAAGCCTTTTATGTACACACTTCATTAGGTCTCCACACCCCTGCAAGGTGGCATTAAGCACTCATACAACCATGAAACCAATGACTATAAAACAGTCACAAGGCTTCCTCTCCAGCATGAGGTAGCAAAACCATCAATGATTTTGAATGACAAAGGCCAAAATCATATATATTTGGGAAAGAAAGCAAATGAAACACTGAAGAACAATAAACCAAAAGAGCAGATGGAATGGAAACTTTTATTGAAGAAAGCAAAAATTGATTCAATTAAAACAGCTAATGTCCCTGGTATAATTGAAACATCAATCCAAATTTTTGGAGCAGTGGGTTGTGAAATTACTGCCTCATTTAATATTGGAATTCCTATTTGGACCAATTTGATATGCATCACTGGTGCGAGGTTAGCTATTAGGTAAATAACAATATTCCTATTTTTTAAGTTAACAGGAAACATAACACAGGACTCCAGATTTAGGGAGAGATTGCAAACAACTACTGTCATACTCCATCCAGTAAGGACATGTGTCCCTGCGTCACTAAAGCAATGAGAATTTGCACAAAGAAAACACAGTTCTCCAATTGTGACATATATGAGACCATGAGCCATGAATTACGAGAACAAGCAACTGTTTAAATGCCATTGGCAAATTTTTTTTATCATCTTGGAAACGACACTGATGCTCTAGGTAAGAAAAAGAACTGTTTTACTAGCAAATCCAACTGACACAGGGGTTTTTCCAAGTGAAAGGGTGATTCCAAAAAGTGGAATAAAATGAGTAAAGGTGATCTGTGCAGTGACAGAGATGGTCTTACACTGACCAGCATCACGATTCCTGGTTTTACACTTACTGTCTGCTCGTCACCTCTGACACAAGAACTCATCAAATGATTATTTTTTTCTTTAGGGGAAAAAAAGATAAATAAATTCTAACTACAAGATGTGGTATGAAAAGCGGTAATGAAGTTATCTAACCTAATAATGCAGCCAGTGTAATGTAGTACTTATTCGGGCACTAGAATTTTTTAAATCATGGTTTCTTTTATATCCTACTTCTATCCTAAAGTAGACACTTAAAGTTTTCTACTTTATTCAACATATCTAGTGGGGGTTGTGGTACACACTGGTAAGGCAGTTTTCAGGGATTTAAAAATGGTTCTGTGGTTGTGGTCAGGAAAGGCAAGGCTTCCTCACAGCTGCAACGGAGAAGGAATCTCCGGAGTCAGCCTCCGGGCAGCTTCCGAACCGTATTTGCTTGCACTTGGCACAGGACACCATCAGCAAGTGTAACTCTGAAAGGGAGTTTTCCCCGGGGACCTGGGAGGTCCTCTAACATTGTGAAGCCACTTGTTTCTCAGTTAGGTAAAGCTTGGAAAAATAGTTTATTAGAAGTGACTTCCTTTATATGTGCCTTTTGTCCTGAGAGGTCACTAATTAGCATAGAATATAAAATAACCCATAATATAAGAATTTAGGTACCACATCGTTCCATCTACCTGTCTATATGTTTAGCATATTTATAGTTAGGTTACATTTTCTATGACGTTCACTTCCGGGCACCAAAAAAGTAAGGTTACAAATATTTATTATAAAAAGGGGGGGCTGGGGCTAAGGGTTAAAAACCGCTACTGCTATCAATTAAAACCATATAATATTTTTATTCTCAGTTGCATCAGACCTTCCCGAATTCCTCCCTCATGTTCACTCTTAAAACAATAACAGAATGTCTGTTCTTCCAAGACCCGGGCCTGATCGCCACACATCCAGATATCTGTCTGTGCGGTCCCTACTTGTCCTCGAGGCCCCCTAACACACCTTACGGGGTGAAATTTCTTCAGTGTCACTACTGTAGGGGAAACCTGGATTTCCCAGGTACTGTCAAGGAGTCACACTTACCTGCAAAAATCAAATTCATGTGACTGAAACGGGACAACATAGGTGGTGTGATAGGGCTGAAAGCTCACCAAAAACAGGTTTGGGTGCCTTACCCAAGGCCTCCGGCACCTCACATGAAGAAGGACAGGGAGACTCAATTAGCCACGAGACTGGGGGGCTTCATTACCCCATGAATAAAGGATTTGTGCCAGTGCTACCTTTCACCAGGGAACCCCAGAACCCAGAATTGGAAGCACCCTGTCCCCTCCCCTCTGAACAAATATTCTCTCAAGGCATATATTGAGAGATGGGAGCCCCGGTGATCTCTGGAATAAGATGCAATCTGAAAGACTGCTGGTAACAAATGGTGTGGAGCTCGGGCAGCCCCCTGGGGCAGCAGCCCTTCTGGTACCACTGATGCCCACATTTCCATCCACAACAGTTTCTTCAGGACACTTACGCACACATAACCATCACACAAAAATGATCGCTTAGAAGTATTTTAACAGAAATAATATTATGAGAATGCCAAATTCATGACAAGTCAGAGTCAAGTCCCCAGAGTATTTACTGGATGAGATCTCACGTGTGCTCCCCAGTGAGCTTTAAACCCTTAGGTCACAGTCATAGAACAGTAGGCATTTTCTTTATTTCCTCCAAGTTGGCTTTACTGGAGAACTCCATAACACAGGAAAACTCTGTATCCCACCTCTACTACATACACAAAGGGCTCACCACCTGGAGTGGGATCAGCGCTGGTGTGACCAGCTCCAATGTGAGCACTCCCATGCCCAGCTCCCCCAGGAGCAGAGCTCCCACCACGGGCATTGCAGTGCCTGTAAGAATCAGGTGTCTGATGCGTGAGCCTGGGGTGGGCAAGACAGGAAGCAAGCACCGCTCCCTCAAGCTCTGCAGGTGATCTCTGTGTCATCATGAATAAATACAGTCAGCCATAAAGATGTTCGGCAAGAGGGTAAAAGATAAGGCCTCCCCAAATCTCCACACATTCCTTTAGTGGGAGTCCTGGTAGAACACATGGTGACAAGAGACGCTGGCTTTACATGCGCACGTTGGCCTCAGGGCTTCAGGGGAGGCCACGGTGCTGCCTCTACCCCACCTCCTGCCCTCATCCCCCAGACTTCACAGGGGCCGCTGACTAGTTTCTCTGACTTTCTCTCCTTGGTTGCGCTGCTCTTCCAGCTTTTAAGTGCTCATAAGAACCTCACCAGAAAATCTTTAACAATGAACCCAATTCAAATGATATCAACCACAGAAACACATTGCCTTCATCATTACTTTACATTTTAGGAAGAAATTCTTGAAGATGACTCCCTGACCTGAAGGGATGGATAGAGGAGAAAAGAAAACAAGACAAGCATTCTGGGCCCATAAAAATGACAGGTAACCAGATGGTGGCTAGTCTTCATTGCACCTCTCTGCCCGCCACAGTTTCACATGCCCCTGCAAACTGAACTCATCAGAACTCGACTGAAGGAGACGGCTTTGCAAGTTTATTGGAAACCAAAGAAATCGCTACAGAAACAGTCTCCCAAACCCAGCGAGAACACTGTAAGCTGACCAGTGCCAGAATCGAAATACTAAAACACACAGATCCAAACTCCGACACCCTCCCTGTTGGGTGTACTTACAGTGGGGGTGTCGCCGTGTAATTTGTCAGCATCCAACATATAAAAATGAAAGGGACTCCAGTTTCCAACATCACCGTCCCTCTGAAACAACTGGTGGTCAATTGGCGTTTGTCGGCAGCAAAACTCAATTTTCACCCCTGCACGGGGAGGTCAACACACAGAAGAGACTGATGATCCCCACTGCGAGTGTAGCTAAGTGTGTCTAAGCAAACTGGCTCCATCACCCTTCTGATGAGCAGTGGAGTGTGTGAGCCGCGGGGCTCAACAGACTAACGGCCAGGCAAGGAGGGCACTTCCTTACTTTGGGGAGAAAAAGG